TGACTTGATCTGTGATCATGATGTTTATTTTACTTAACATAATTTATAAGTATGTTTCTATTTGTTCTACTACGATAACTAACATGGCCAGAGCTCAGGAGCCGGATTTAAAATTATTGAAAAGTCGCAAACTGCAAACCTCGAAGGTTAGAGTTCACACAATTACCGTCGTATAAACTTTAGTCACAACGCGCATCATTAGAAACTGGCCTCCGCGCTAAAGTTAAAACAATGAAAGTGTGGTATCGTTATCACTTTTTGCGCAACTCTCAGCGCGTGGTTAAGTTGCGCTATAAATTCGTGTAGAATTTTGGAGTAGTAGACACGTTCAACTAATTTCTTTACTTTTTTTTACTTCGGTATGAAGAGTCACGGGTCATCACCGGCTACAGGGGGCGGCAAAATTGTGTAATGGGGCGGAAAAATGCCGCCCCCCTAAGGTGCCGCCCCCCTGCTAGCAGGGTTAGCAGGGGCGGTCGTTACGCCACTGAATGGCTCACTTTTTCTCCCTCCTCGCTCTCTCTGCCATATGCAGCGTTGGTACATGAATCATAATTAGGTTATTTGGCAGTGTATCAGCCGCAAGATTTACTGTTATTGGGGGGGGGGGGGGGGCTCATTGCAGTCTGTTTGGACTATTATAGAGAGAGTTCATACATTCACTCGACAAAGCAATGCGTGTTTTCGAATATTATGGGCGGGTTTATACTTTTGCATTTCAACTTCGATAGTGAAATCCCGGCTGTAGGCACGGGTTACACTAATATTATTTATGATATTATTTTGTCTCACTCGATAGATCGTTTGACTCTGAAATAGCGACTCTATTCTACTCTCAACGCTGGCGACTTGCCAACATGTAACGTCATGTGCTTTCGATTTCACGAATCACTTTTTCAGAAGTATCAAATTTGTTACGTATGCAGACTTCTATAAGCCTGATTACACCTAGTATAATAACACCGAACGGGGTAGCGTCTTGGGGAAATATATCAGCACCGGAACAGGTTTGTGAAGAGGTAGCAATTCTTATTCTGTTGTTATGGCAACGGATTAATTATAATTTAGGTTAGAGCTATCAGGTTTGCGAAAGTCTATATTTATCATTGTTAATCGTAGAACTGTTCTGAGTCATCACTTTAAAAGCATTAAGCGGTCGTTCACAAATTACGTAATCACTTTTGGAAATTGTTACCCCCTCCGCCCCCCCCCCCCCTCCCCTCCGTAATCAAAAGAAATGTTTGGTGATCGTTTAATAATTATAAAAAGTGTGGTGAATTGTCGATTCACCACAAAATAAATAGCTAATTAATAACGTATGTGACGAAATTTATATTTCTTGACCCTATTTTGAAGAACCATACCTCGATTAGAATTCAATATTCTTCCAGGAATTATTGGTTGGTTATTGTTCAGCAAATCAGAACTCAAGTTTAACAATGCTGAGTTTAATTTTACTAAGTTACCGAAATGTGACGAAATTCACTTTTCCTAACAGTGTAATTTCAATGTGATGAAAAATTAGCATGGGTTTCTAAATTTCCTGTGTAAATCCATTCCAACTATAATAAGGACTGTTGATGTGAAAGAAAATCTATCTAACTAAGTAACTAATATGCAATGACTGATGTGACGAAATTTACATTTGTTGCCCCTATTTTGAAGAATCATACCTCATATTAGAATATAATGTTACTTTATCACCATATATATGTCGATAAACTAGTTATTTTTCCAACAAAAAGCAAATAAAGTTATAATATTTTTTGTGACGAAATTTACATATTTTTACCATGTTCAGGTGTTCGAATTTCGCCAATTTTAACATATCACTGCCGTATAATAATTTATTTGCTTATAACAATGAGATATGTTAACAATTTCTAACACATTCAGCTCGCAAAATAATGCTAGACTATTCGGCATTTCTTGTCAGGATGTCATAAACATCCCTCATATAAATTTCTTAAATGTGTGACGGAATTTACTTGGTGATACCATTTAACTAAAAAAGTCGCTAAATATGTAGATAATAGTCATATGCAACTATCCTATGAACTGGTAATTCGAAAATTTGGTCAAACACGGCAGCAAGGGGCCATGTTAACTCTGTCACGTTTTTATAGTGTGACAAAGTTTACAACTCACTGCCGGCCAAATTTAAACGATATCTTATCATCTGATAAAGATATCGTTATGTGACAAAGTTTGCTAGAGGATGAGACGATTATCCTAGCCAATATTGAGGGTTTATATAGTTTCATAGTGCGACAAATTTTACCTCATCGTGCTATTTAATAGGGTCACTAATATTTACCAATATCCTCAAACTTCAATGAACGTGTCCATAAAAACTATTTCTTCCTCCAGGATCCAGAGGTGCTGATTGAAGATCCTGTAGTTACCAGAGAAACTTATAAAACCCGACAGAAAGGTACGCACAGACTCAGAGTTATCCGCGGCAGGCCAAAACCGCAGGTTACCCAGCGAATCAGGTAAGTCTGTGGTTAATTTTGTTGTGTTATTCATTTTGTATAATATATATATACTAATTTTTAAACTAATTACAACACTACAAATCTATTTCATTTATTGAGGATGACTGTAAAGGTATATTTTACCGACATTTGAAGTCAAGGCGTTGTTTTAATGACAGTTGTGGCTGACTAACAATATATATATAATTATATATTATATATATATATATTTGGTATTTATTTATTTCTAAAGGGTTTCAAACTACTTATAAACATAAGGTTATTAAGATTTGTGTTACCATGGTAACCTACCTAGTGTTTATATTGCAGGAGAAAGAGAAGAAGACTCCAGAAATTATGGGACACAAAAGAAAAAGAAAGACAGAAAGCTATAATAAAACTCAGAGAGGACAATTTCAAAACGGAGAAAAAGCGGGTTCAAAGTTCAGATTGGTGGGACTGGTATGTTCCATATGACAACAAGCCCATGCAGTTCTGATTCATTTCGTCACATCTGATTGATGACGACGTCAGAAAGACAAAAAGTGGTTGTTGACTAGTATGTCATGAGAAGAATGCAGCCGCATGGCATTATATTCATTTCCCTTCCATACCAATGAGATGATCAAAACATTGCGGTCGTGACAATTATTCTGATGTTATTTGAAATGAATCGCTACATTTGATATGTTTACTTTTAGGTACTAAACAATAGGGTTTAGCGGGGAACCCCAGTATCGGGGGGAATGGGGGGGGGGGGGGGGGGGGCAGTATCGGCATCGCTGTAACGTCACAAGACACATTAAAACAAATTTGCATCATCTCTCAACGTCTTTTAACTCATCACATTTTTCTGATTTTGTATCTTGAACGGTTTACTTAAGACCCCAATATAGAAGGTGCAAATCTCGTAAATTTTTGTCTTGACACGTGACATATATTCACCTGTCTAGTCAAAACAACAGGTAGGCGTGTTTAATGCTGATGATATTGAAGATAAGATTGTAATTTTCTTATGATTTATACCTTTTCCGGCAGAATGTTGCAAGTTGATGAAGATTTCCTTTGTATTCCTGTCGGAAATTTGCGGTACATTGAATTGGGGTCGTTCACGTATTACGTAATCAATATTTTAGCAATTTCTACCCCCCTCTCCGTAATCAACCGTAATCAAGACCCAACCCCCCCCCCCCTCCTGACAGCAATATTACGTAATCATGGCCTGACCCCCCCCCCCCCCCCCCCCCCTTTGACTTTTTCCCTGGAAATAATTTTTTTAACGTTTCATGCTACCGGCCTGATCATGTTGAGCCGAAACATCCGGCCAAGCACCTTTCCGGCCAAGCACCTTTCAAACTACTTACTATATAGTCGGGTATCCGATAAATTTCTAAATTTTATCACTATCAGAGTGAAATTGAGTGGAATTTGAATTAAAATATTGTCAAATTGTTATTATTCTAGGGGTTAAAAAAGAAAATTTTGATTACGTAATCAACGACCAAACCCCCTCATAATCAACCATAAGCATTTTGAATCCCCCCTCGGCTGATCACGTAATATGTGAACGACCCCATAGGTAGTTTGGGGGGGGGGGGGGGGGGGGCAAGTGGATATTTGTAGATATTTGGATAATGTCATCCACTTTTTTCGTGAATTATCCATTACAATAATCTACAAATATCTACAATTTTATCTACAAAAAATGTATATCTCAAATATGTGCCCAGAAATTCTACTGAATTTTTGGAGATAAATGTATAAATTTGTAGAATTTGTAGAATTTTCGTGAATTATCCATTGACAATAATCTACAAATATCTACATTTATCTACAAAAAATGTAATCTCAAATATGTGCCTAGAAATTCTACTGAATTTTTGGACATAAATGTATAAATTTGTAGAATGACATCCACTTTTTTCGTGGATTATCCATTCTACATTAATCTACAAATATCTACAAATATCCACTTGGCTCCCCCCTAGTTTTGGGGGGTTATTCGTCGCGAATGATTATAATATAATATTCTAGTGATTATGTATTTGGAAAATTTTCGTTACCTCCATCATTCATGACAAAACTGACGAGATTTATTTCAATCCAAAAAAAACAAAACCGATGGTGCGTACCCCAGTAATGCTTTCATCATTTATAGAAATTGTGAACTTGGAATTTATACTCGTATCATCCGTCAACTAGAATCGCTAAAAAATAAACATCCAATCTCTTTAAATATCGTAAAAGTCGAAATATTTACAATTATTATACAGTTAGTTGTACAATCATAATACTTTTGGAACCCATTCAAAACAAAAGGTAGACTACTCGCCCACAAGTATCGATCACAATCGTAATTATATCATGTATAATATCATCGCATTAATCAATATGCTGTGCTTGGAGCTGGACAATGGACATGTGATCACGTTTGCAACAATTCTAAAATCTCTGAAAATTTTTGCAAGTCCTCCGTTTGTACAATTCAGCTAAAAAGAAATTTACATTGGCATACTTATCGAATATAAAAGAGATGCTGACGAGGCTGTCTAAAATAACAAATAATAAAATCACTAAAACCTTTGAACTTAAATACTCTTGATTAATGATTATTTAATTGGTTAATTACATTTCTAATTAAATATCTACATCATACAGCCCCCAAACGATTTCCAACTTTGTTATCGTTTCCATGGCAACATGAACTCCTTTTGGCAGCGTATTCTTTGAAGTTAGCGCCTTCGAGTCGTTTCATTGTTTCGTTGAGGGCGTAAATCTGAAACATTCATTAGTAAATATAACAGGGAATTTTATAGTAACATACTGGTACTACGTTAGGGGTTCACATATTACGTAATCAGCCGAGGGGGAAGGGGGGTTTCCAAATGATTACGCTAGTGTAATTTTTACACAATGCTATGTGTAAACCTGGTTACCGAGGGGGGGGGGGGGTAGGGGGTATGTGAACGACCCCTTATCACTGAGAGGGAGAGGGCTTTCTAAAAGATTACACCAGTTTAATGAAAGTATCCAGAGAAGTAACCCTTCCCTCCTCAATGATTACGTAACATTATGTGAACGACCCTGAAAAGGTATACAATAGTCAAAACGACAAAACAGTGCTCAAATTAACGGCTTTTCAGTCAACCCTGGCAAAATATTCCCAGGCCTACAGCCAAACGGTTATAACCCACCTCGTTTCTCTGGGTGATTTTGAGCAACTCTTGTTCTCTTCTTTCAGCTATTGCTCGCCCTTTCCTCTTTTCGAGCTCATCCTTCTTCCTCTGCTCGTCCCGAAACTTAACTGAAACAATAACGTCCTCGGTATTTCACATGATCGAGTTGTGCTGTATTCGGTGGCTTTTACTAATTCGCTCGCCCAAAAATTATCACGTGACTATGGTTTTTATGGTTTTGCAGCGGAACAAAACGGTTTATATAAACCCTAACCCTATAACCCGAGCCCTAAACAATCAAATTCGTGTTTTACTAGCATGTCACGTGACCAAAACAGTTTTTTTCCCATAACTTTCCAGGGAAGCATTTTTATCCGACGTCATGGGGGGTGATTCGGAATCAGCGTCCAAAAATACACCGAACAAGATTACTTGTATACCTTCAGGGCCTTTTCACAAGAACTTTCTTAGAATTTGGGCGAGCGATTTAGTGGGAGGGCCAGGGGTATCCGGTTAATACCGCGAGCGGCGAGCGTCCTGTATCTAAATTAAAGGGTGGGATGATAAAACTAACAATGACCAGGAACCATCAATTACCTTATCGGACCTTATTTGGACGGACGTTACTTGAACGGACATAATTATGAACGGACATTAATATGAACGCTAGAAGGCAATCAAAACCATCAAAAATCCGAATTTTATTCATCTTTTTTTGGAGTTTTTTTAATTTTAGCAAATGATTTTTAAATCCATTTTTTATACAGTAAGCTTATCTGCGCTGTGCAGATAAGGTACGAAGGTACCTATAGGACTAGATTAGATACCGTTGGTCACATACCTAGGGAGATATCCCAGTTTGTCTTCTATTTTATCGAGATGGGTGGTATGGTAGAAGGCATCGTAGCTGACATAAGCCACCGAAGGTCGCCTATACCAAGTGGGGGGCTAGAGATACAGCTTAAGCTGTACTTTAGGCATTCAAGTATCTCTCTAGTAGAGCAGTTGGGATCGAGCATTGCCCGGTACGACTACGAGTTGGACAGACAACCAGTTGTAAGAGAAAATGTGGAGGTAGAAGAAGCCGAAGATCAACTTCAAGATAGTGATCATGCAATAATGTGATATTTACAATTCAGATTGTTAAAATTTTATAATACCTTGTTTTTATTAATTCAACAATATAGTTTAGTCTAATGATAGCTATTGAAATTGACTGAAATTAAAAAATTGTCATTATATTCTGGACAAAAAGTTCGAAATGAAAAAAGTTTTGAAAAAAATTCAACGGACTTTAACTTGGACGGACATTAATTGAACGGACTTTATTTGAACGGACATTAAGATGAACGCTAGGGCCTCCAGCGTTCAAGTAATGTCCGTCCAAATAAGGTCCGATAAGGTAAGCAGAAACACCTTGTATTCTTATCCTGAGGTTCCCATCCCATCATTCTCTTCTTAATAACAATATTGGGCTTCACATATTACGTAATCATTTTTTGGAACATTTTTACCCCCCCCCCCACCTCCGTAATAAGTTTTACACATGGCTATTGTGTCAAAATTACACTAGCGTAATCATTCGGAAACCCCACCCCCCCCCCCCCCCCCCTCAGATGATTACGTAATATGTGAACATAGTAACAGTGAGTACTGAGTAAGTTACTTAATTATTCAATTATCCGATGGGTAAGCACTTATTATTGAGATGTTCAACCTGTCCAAATTTTATTAACTTGGGTTGTTAATGTTATCTATATCGGATCACAGATTCACCTGAAGTATCTGAACACTAAGATTTTAAATGTTCATTGGAAGTACAAACCTAGCTCGTGTTTTGGAACATGGGATGTAACTAGGCGATTGTGTAGCTTATTGAACAGCTTAGACTGTTTAGAAATTACCATCAACTGATAAAATTTGTTTACTTTTAGCTCGCAGGGGAACAGAAAAATTGCTGCTTTAAAATCATGGAAGACTTACGACAGATTTGATACATATCAATTGGTATCAAATGAGATTGAATTATGTCAACTTTAATGTGAAAATCATTAAAAGCGGAATCTTAAATGCATTAAAACAACTATGAACTGAAAGTTTAAAAGAAGCAATGACGGCCGTAGAGTAGCTATACAAAAAAAACTGTGAGCGAGTAGTCCGCGAGGAAATTTTGTTCTGCTTGTCAATAACTGCAGTTGAAATAAGTTGTATTATTAAAATTGCCTTTCGTTCTCCGGCTCAATATGGCAAGATGTGGTCAGATTCGACGTGAGAATTTGATGGCGCTCATTCAATTTCTCAGAATGTTCCATGTCAATTGTCATACGAGCCACATTGCATTATATCACGAGTCGATTACGACCAATCACGATTTTTCGACGGGCTAACACTTAATCTAACGAAAACCTGTTGACGCGATGATTGATGAATGGAGATTGTTCATTGTTGTAAGATTTAAAGGTAAGGTATAAGCCAATGAAAACATTTCTAATTTCTCAGCACTTTGAGCTTATAATTTATTACACGGTGGGGGACATGTGATTTAAAGATTACTTGAGTAATAGGAGGAAATTAACCGGAACCTTCTTAAACTCATGTAAGTGTAAAGTGAGTGACAACTAAGGGCGGTTGCTATGGTAACAGCGCGTGAGCTATGCATGATGCAGTTAAATTTGGCTAAAACTAGCTAAAATTCGTACGTGCGCGTCTTATCTGGGACACAAATTCTGATGCGCCTTCCTTATTCAAGTTAATGTAGACCTCTTTAGCGCTACAGCGTGGAAAAGAAAGAGTGATTCATCGCATCTAACTCTGGTTTATTTTCAATGCATTATTTGTCACATAGTGTTAAAATATATGAGAAATAGAATAAAACTGCAGACTGTTCAGTGTTTAGTCTCATAGCATATTTTGAAGGTACAATCTTTGACGCGATTATTACCATTATTGAGAAGTGCCATCGAAAATAAAATTTAATAACGACGTATTTGCAGTACTTAGTACTTACCTATTTCACTTAGCTTCGTTGTGAGCCTTCTTTTTTCTTTCGTTAATAATTGACAGTTTTAGGTGAATAGAGACAACTAAACTAAATAATAAATTCATAGATCTATATGTTTAAAGAATGAAGAATAATTAATAATGTTATTACACATTTTGGAGAGACTCAGCGAGCTTAGGTACGTTTCCACGAGAGGTTTTTTGAGCCTGGCAGAATCCAGATCTTCAGACTGGCAAGTCCGTCCTTCTGACATTCTTGCTTGTTAATATTACCAGACAATCCCATAAACACTGATAAATAATTGGATTATTGTTTAGAAGAAACAGCAGTTGTATCATAATCCACTACCTAGTATGGGACATTTATGAGCACAAAAGATCATGAAATTGCACGGAAAATATTATATTACCATCAGAGATGACAAAGGATGTATTATTGGAATTTCCTCATAAGATTATAAATAATTAAACAATTCTAATATTTAAATACATGCTCGACATTAAAAAATACTCATTTAAGGCCTGGAAAGAAAACAATATTATCCAGCTTATAAATTTAATCTCAACTAAAACAGCTTGAATATCAAATTCCTCACTTTTTTTTATGAAATCTTTCAAATCAATCAATTACAGTTTTAAACTAATTACAACACTACAAATCTATTACATATAATAGGACACCTAGTGGGAAATAAACACCTCAATCAAATGTAGCAACCATTACAGTTTGTATGTCCGATGTCAAAATGGTTGTTGCATGATAATTTATTTATAAAGACATCTAAAGACTACAGACATCGTATTAAAGCTGTTAACTCCCATCTATCACCTATCACGCCATCTATCACATAAAGAATATCAGACACCACTCATCCCAACTTCTGAATTGCTGCAAAGGTACTGAAATCACCACAAAATAACTAAAAACCGTAGCATCGGTTTTAGACTCTATCCTGAATTCTTGCATATTGTGTTTTATTTGAACTATGTCGGTATCCATATCAGAAATTACAGCCTTCGTGACAGACCTAACAGTGCAAAAGCAAAATGTTCTACCAGTGTATCACTAAGATCTAGAAAAACGACCAATTTGAGAGACAAATTGCTCGTTCTAACAAACGTACCCAAGGCTCAGCCATGACAAAATGCGGTTCCATTCTCTGCGGGGACAGTGTCTTAACTCTGAACATAAGCAAAACTCAAAACTGTGAAGTTAGCAGTGTGACTGAACTTAATAGCAACCATCTCTTGTGAATTCTACAGATGTTAACAACAATCTTCAACATTGTTAACGTTGTGGTAAGTCCATAATCCATATCATGATTTGAGTCCGAGGTGTATCCGGTTTTGTATTGAGACACTCAAGTTGGATATGGAAACCCAATCACACAACGTTTAACAATCGGACTTCGCAATACTTGGGGAATTTCCCTTATTGCCTACAAGGAGCTTCCATAACAACAAAGCCGTAAATTGACAAACCCTTATTAAAGTCTTATTTTAGAACGTTTAACGCTCCCAGCTCCCAGTTCTGAAATTTAACAGCGCCATGATCACTACGATTAAAATGGCAGCAAGGAATACCATTCCATCCAGATGATGAGAGTCCATCTCACCAGGCGCCATGATTTTTCCACAAATCGTTGTAGGAGCAACAAGAGTCTCATTGATATCAAAAGCAAAAGCCCCACATTGCCATCTTACTCTCTCCCATGGCGACATAATGATTATGAAACCAGAAAATCTCAGGACAAGCTTTGACCAGCCTATTCAGGACCATACTGATGACATGAGACTTAGCATTACTCTGCGCAGAATGATGGCTGCAACCTTGTCTGCCTCCACCCGAAACCTCAAGTAGCCTTTCGTTATTCTGTAAGAAGAAACTGAACCTCAATCAAAGGGAAATCATCACCAACAATCACTCATAAAGCACCATACCCCCTGCTTCAGGTCAAAAGCAAATCCCCTGCTGTGTATGTTATCTCACAGCATGTTCTCCAAGTTAGATGCACAAAACAATGCCTCTGCTCAATCAAAGAAGCACATGTATTTCACTATCCGGGGTGGCATTTGCAAAACGGTATCAATGAACGCTTCCACTCAGATGAAAGAAAGAGGTCATGATGCAAATAATGTGAAGACCATCGACTCATTGTGGAACTAATATTGTACTTAATCCAGAGAGTCCTCGACACATGAGGAAATAGATTTATTGTCACCCGATAGTGTCACATGGAAAAGCAAAGGCCCTTGATAACACCAATCGCTCTATTGATAATCTGACCAGTCCTCACTCGGGCTCCAGCTGCAAAAATTCAGACATAAACATTTTTCACGCAGAGAGAAAGTATGCTAGAAATAAAAGTGATAAATGACATCAATATCTTTTTAAATCTAAGATTCCTTCCCGAAATACTCGGTTGTTAGCTTTATACCCACAAGAGAACAATCGAATTTTTGTTTAGTGAAAGATCTGGATTTTAGGAATCATCTTGTATTTATAGATTGGGGGAAGACCAAGTGTGCAACTAAACAGCGGATGGTCATATTTAAACAAGCTAAGCAACATCAAGTACCATGCCTCACCATTTGAATCGACATGACATTTCCACCTGAATATTTAATTTGATTTCAAGTTTAAAACTTTTCTTATTGAAGAATATTTACAGGCGGATAATGTTTCACTGAATTTAGTTTAATCAACACAACGACTAACACGATTTGTGAAATTGACAAATATTCACAACTCAGCTGACAAATTTCATAACCTTTGCATGGTCACTGTAACATTCAAGGGGTCTCCTAAATTAAGCTAAAAGTAATGACTTAATCAACTCCATTCGAGATCATACGCTAGACATACTTCTAATGAGAATGAATCTTTAATGATACATATTGACACAGACAACATAACTATTCTTTCCTCTCTTCTACATCATGCGAGGCGACAGGCCAAACAGTTCTAGGGGTGGTGTGCTTAAATGATAAACAAAACAACTAGCTTACACAGAAATTAGGTTATGGGAGATAAGCTGATAACATTGAAGCATTATGGTGAAGCTAAGAATAGCAGATCAATGTTTGCTGCTTCTATCTCCTCTGGAAATTATTGCATGTTGATCACTTTTATGAGTTAATCATTATTCATTTTTGCATGAAAAAAATTGAACGGGAAAAAGGTTTATCTGGATTGGAATAAACATTGACCAGAATAATATCCTCAATCCACCCATACAAAAAATTAGATAGAACCTGAGATGTTTACAATCTAGTTCAAACCATTCAAGGGATAACTAGAGTTGCTAAACGTGGAGACAATTTTTACCCAGACTACTATTGAATGTAATTTATTCTCTAACTGTTATGCAGATTTTGTTCAATCTACCCTGTTCTTGATGAACGTATTGGATCATCAAGCTATTATGTGGTGAGATAGCTTTGTAAAGTCCTATAACGCTCCTAAATTGAAAAGGTGTAGAAATTCAGAAATCATTGGTAACGTAATGTTAAACAATTCTTAGACTATCTAGACACCTGGTTCTGATTTACAGTCCACTATTGGAAAGTACCATGTTTAAGCATCACTGCCAGGCCTTTGTCAATCATAATGAACAGGCAAAAGCAACCTGCTTCCCTGCAAGACCATAGAAAGGCATTACAAGTACATACATAACCTCTACTGAACTTTTTAAATAGCATTACTCATACACATTTTCTTCTTAAAGAATTCGTAAAAAGAAGGATAAGAGAGAACAATGGAAATTGCAATAAATGTGGGTCTATGTAGCAAATGTATAACGTGTAAATGAGGCCTGGATTTGCTAACAAGATCAGAGAAATTTAGAAAATAAATTTAGCTAAAACCTGCAAAAAGGCTAATGTACTCGGATGATCTTCCAGGTAAAAGTGCCCAAGAATGATCTTAAAAGGGTATGGAAAACTATCAAACGGCATCAATAATGACCCCTGGTACAACTAATTGTCAACTATCAATAGAATGATCCTGAGCTATTTAACTTCATTTTGGCAAATGTTGGATCAAGATTTACAAAATCAGGCCACCCAATATGAAAGAGTTAATTTTACCTGATTTTTACCCTCCTAGGAACTTCTAACATCTCATTTGATAGATTCCAAGAAATAAATGAAACGATATCTAATGTAATTCGAACGCTCACAGAATGACAAGGCCTCATATGACTAGTGCCTCTATTTTTACTAAGCAAGCTGTAAACACACATAGTTGAGCCACTGACCCATATTGTCAATTTGAGCCTTAATACCAAGGTGTTGGTACCAACCCCTTTGTAAAAAAGTCAAGAGTAACTCCCATCCATAAGGCAGGATGAAAGATGATCCTAATAATTAACAGGCCAATAAGCCATCCCTTCCACTTGTAGGAAAACTTATAGAATACTTTGTCGGCCAAGCAACACACTGATTAGCATGGAAAGAACAAACTTTTTCAATCCGGACATCATTGGCTTTCTGAAAAATCACCTCCACACTTAGTGAATGTACGATCTGATGACGAAATATAAATAGTAAATCTAAGTCCTTATAAACCAGGAATCCTCTTTCTTGATCTTAAGAGGCCTTTGCCACAGTGATCATGAAATATTGCTTCAAAACTGCATATTATGGAATTGGTGGCAATGCTTTAACCTGGTTTAAGAACTTCTTATCTTGTAGATATCAATGCCCTAGATCAATGGCTAAATAAGTCAGTTTTAGAAGTTCTGAGTGTGTAACCACAAGGAAGCATCATTGGGCTATATATTTTGTACTTCATAAATGACATCATTTATCCTGATAACCTATCTACCCTTTCGTATTTGCAGATTATGGTGCACTATTCCTTGATCAAACCTGCAGAATCACATTTATAAACATGAAAATAGAACTATGAACAATCTTTAAATGGCTCAGTGTTAAATAAATTTATCACTCAATGAAAAGAAGACTGAATTCCTATGTGTTTTGATTCTGTTGATCAACATGATGGAATTAAACCATTGAATGTAATGAGGTAACTTTCACAATCAAGGATGCAAGAGAACAAAATATCGTGGCCTCATTCAGATAGTAAATTAACTTACAAAAGCCATGTAGATTATATTATTAGGAAGTCATGAAGGAGATTGGTGCCATGTATAGAAGTAAAGCACTGCTACCCATAAATATAGGAGAAATGAGTTTGCCAATCACTCATGTTGCCACAATTCATATTTAGACAGATCATATTGTAGACTGGCACGACAAGAAACCTTGCTGAACTGACACTCTGTACAAAAAGTAGCCAAATAGCTCTCAACGTTTCCACAAACAGAGAAGCAGCTTAATGTTTATAGAGACCTGAAATGGGTACCACTCCATCTTAGACTACAACTCCATCTGTCAAATAAATGTTTAGAATCATCCAAATGACAATTGTTCCTACAAACTTATGAACAAATTTAGTTACATATCAGGAGGTAGTAGGATCCGGCCGAAAGCTGCAACCTATATGTTGCCGAAATTCATAAACCGACCTGGATTTCAGGTAATTGCAGCTGGGGTTTAAATCATCCACAAAAGTTCTTTCTAAGATCTGATGGGGTATTTAAACTGCTTGGTACCTACTTTAAAATACCAAGAAAATTTTAACTTTAAGTTCTTAGACGCTTCTGGTTATTGGAATTGTCCAACAATAAAGACAAAGTGACATATTCCCCCCCCCTGTTTTTTACAAAACTTATATTATCTAATAATACCTGATCGCTAATCAGTATATCGTTTTGATTTTAAGAAACTTTTACACCAACCTCCCCATGATAAACTATTGAGAATTTTCATCTTGATTAAATTATGTTTTAGAAAGAAACCCTTGATTTTATCAAAATCAACGACCAGTTCGGCAAGATGGCCGGAGTTTGAATAAGACTAAGTGGTCTTTTACATGTAGTACCGATAGATATGTTTAAATTCGTTAATGGATAATAGTTTATTTAAGTTTTCGAGTGTGATCTACAGACAGGTAATTGGTATCCCAATGGGAGTGATTGATGCCTCTCAGGTCGCTGACCTATTTCCGATACTGGTACGAGCAGATTACCATTACATTGCAAGTTTAAAAAAACAAGACCCTGTGGTTCCCACTTGAAACATGCTAGTCGATAGGAGGATGATTTAACTACCCCTAAAATCAGTCATAGACTGTCGAGATAATTTGCAAAGATTATTTTACTCAGTAGAGTTGAAGATTTGTAAAGTCAACAAACTCTAGCATTTTATCTACGACTTTTCTTGAGTTAGACATTTTATATTACGAACAGTCCTTTTCTACACTAAATTATTTGACAAAACGACGTGATTTCAGTTTTTAAAGGTCGTCCACTTTTCCTACCGTCCACCAACGTACCTGTGGAAACCTTCATATGAATATTTGTAGGTGAACTATATAGGATATGCAAATCCTCCTCCGTAGTGAATGAATTTATCTGATGTTACATTAAATTAAATCGATAAACTGATACAACCAGAATTTTGAACAGAAAAACTTACATAGACATCTAATTTATTATTAACAGTCACCAGCGTGCATCTTAAACACTGGCACAATTTCACAGGTAAGAATTGACTTC